TACATTAGAGATGTTTGGAAAATGGCGTTTCAGCCAAAAATAGCGGTTTGATCACTTCAACGTTTTAAATTAATGAAAACGACATTTGGTAAATAGCTGTTTGACCCTAGCGTTTTGGACGGAACCACTGAAATGAAAATGCTGTAAATAGGAGAGTTTTGGATTAACGTTTTGAAATATGGCGTTTGCTAATAATTTTTATGACCAAACATCTTCTAACAACTCACTAACTTATTCTGCTAGTCAAACACGCTGACTGAATCCCCTATTGACAATTCGCTAACATAATCCGCTATCCACTATGTTAAATGTCAAACACACTCATTTACAAATCATTCTGAATCAACTGAATTAAATATTGGTTTAGTCAGGTTTCATCTATTCTATCTAAATATCTCTTGGTATGATCTATTTAGATTTTTTTGATCTAATATGATGCATTTATAATTTATACTCCCTCCGTCCCGCTATGATTGTCTCATTTTACCTTTTCGGTCCGTCCCACTAAGATTGTCTCATACTTTATTTGGTAAAGTTTGTGTGGTTCTAAATCCTTCCTACTTTATTCTTACTTTATCAATTCAATACCAACCACATAAATCCACTTTTATTAATAACCGTGTGACCTTCTCTTGTCCCAAACTTAGGGGTAGTATATATCTAGCGTGGTCTAACATTGAGCACGAATAACTTTAACAAAACATGAGGTATGTTGTAATTACTACATACCCCGTTTGTTATTTTAAAAATAACTGTTTTGTCAAAGGGCATATCATACGTCGTATATTTTAATCCTGCTACATTTATTACTCAGAAACTTAACCAATGATAATAGAAAATGTTACGGAGTAATAGGTACTACTCCGTCCCATATTGGTTGTGCACTTTCAATTTGTCACGATTATTAATAAAGTGGTTGAAAAATAAAGTTGTGGTTGATATTTGAGTAAAATAAAGTGAAATGATAAAGATCACATATTTCTTGCCAAAAAAAAAACAAAACATTCATTTTGGGACAACTAAAAAAGGAAAGTAGGACAACCAAGATGAGAATAATATAAACACTGGAATCCTTGATTCCTTTCAACAAATGATTTTGACTCTTATTAACTTTTGACTTTTATTAAATCATCAAAGTTAAGAAGTACGTATCATTAAACAAGCTAGTTATATGAATAATATAAATTTTCCGTTTAAATTGTGCTAAAACAAAAAATAGAAGTAGCTAGGATTAATGTTGTCTATTTCAAGCTTCGAAAGTAACACGTAGTAAAAACTAGAAGTCCAATTACACAAATTGAAGATAGATCGGATTTAAGAACAACTATTTAATTTGCCTGTATCTAGAAATTTACTCCAAGGCTCCAATATAGCCATATAGGTACTTTTGCACGTACTGCTTAAGTGCTTATTCCATTTCTCCTCAAATACCGAGTAATTAGAGTAAAAGTGTAAAGAGCTTAACCGGTGAGCGTAGCTCAACTGGTAGTAAGAGAGTGTCACAAGGGTTAGGTCTCGGGTTCGAATCTCGACAACTGCGATGAGTGGTTACTATGCTGAAAAATGCATAGGGCATCTGCAAGTACCGGGGACAAAGCCCCACTCTCTATCTGTCATATTGTGATTATAGTCCAATTTACACCCTCTCATCGTGCCGTCCGGTCGGTGTTGGGGTCCTCAGGGATGGGGTGTCATCCTTTTTTTCTGTAAAGAGCTTGTTAGGCTAAGTCTAGCTTGTCACGAAATATTTAGAAGTACAATTAAGCAATTGATATGAATATTCAGAATGTGCATCCCACACCGGAAAAGTTTGGATGAACAAAGTGCTATATTAATACATGGGCTACTCCTCCTATCAAGTTGACCTTTTAGGATGGAATTCTCCCATTTAATTTGAGCTCAAACAAAAAATATACAGAGTAATTAATGTTGTCTATTTTAAGCTTTTAATAGTGATGGATCGTCGGACCAGGGGTGGCCGGAATCCACCGAGAATGAGAGTAGGAAGAAGAGCGAACTGATCGGGAAGTGCAGATCGGAAAAGCCTTAATACATAAGTCTCAAGAGTGCAATAGATTAAGCATCCCTTTCCACAAGTTGGAAGGTGATATTTATACTAGGGAAAAAGGAAATACTTGGAGGCCAAGCCAAAGATGTTAGTCTAATGGGAGAGGGACACGTGTAAAGCTATTCTAACAAACTAACAACCCAATTCAATGAGGAGCGGCCACGTGTAAAGTTGATTGGAGAGAGAACTTTTGATAGCTGGCTGATTGATTATCCTTCTAACAGAATTCCCGCCAGAAGTCCCGTGTGGCTGCACGTGGACAACCTGGAGTATTCCTTCGGTGCAGAGAGTGACGTGGCGGTGTCTCCTTGCGAGATAGATCCTTGCGGATTCTATCTAAGGACTTGGTGCTTTATCCTGACCTTGGGGACTACTGAGGTCGATATCTGAGAGCTCGGGCTCGTGTTGAGAGGATCCGCCCTCTTGTCCTTTGTTCCTGTCCTGGAGGTAGTTGACTGTCTGGCGCTTGACCATCGTTGACCAAATGCTTGACTCCTGGGGTCAGATCTGGTACCGACCTCAGGTGCATCGAGGTCGGGCTCATAACTTGCCGAGCCTGATTGATCTCTGAGCCTGTCGTCTTCCCGACCTCGAGGTCGGGATCGGTTGGCTTTGTCATCCACTCAGTTTGGTTGTTTCCTGAGCTCGTTGTTCTCCCGACCTCGGTGGTCTCGGTCGGGGTCAGTTTTGGATTGTGGACTTAGTATTTTCACGCCTTTGACGGACCTTCAATGCTTTCTATCGGTGATTATGATACCCCTGGGTGTATGGGAATATACTCCATCAAATAATATTGCGTAGTAAAAACTAGAAGTCCAATTACACAAACCAAATTTAGTATAGTTATTGATTGATACAAAGATCGGATTTGGGAACTGCTTAATTAAAACCAAATTAAAAGCTTGCAAAAAAAAAACAAATTAAAAACTATTTTTAAGCTTCTCCCTCGAGTACATAAAAAAAAAGCTTCTCCCTCGAGAACCGCTTAATTAAAACCAATTAAAACCTTGTTAAATAACTATGTAAGTATGCACTGAAAAAACGCTTAATGCTTCACCCTTCATACAAAGAAAACCGGAGCGAGAGCTACACTCTCCAAACCTTCGGGCTTCCTAGGGTAATCCGCCGTTAGGGTTGTTGTTTTCCGATCCCGGTTTCGGCTGGTGATCGAGTTTAGGTAGAGGAATCGGTTTAGTCGAGAGCATCTCTCTCGGCTGGGATTGGGGGGAAGATCGTTGGCTGCGTGCGATTCAAGAGCAGGACGACGAGGGGGTAGGCTGGCATATGGAGGATTTGGTTGATTCGTACAGGAAGTTAGCGATGAGGGATCAAGAGAGCGAATTGATTTTCGATGAGGAAGTAGAAGAGGAAGCCGACGATGAACAGGAGCAGAGGCGCTTTCCGGCAGTGGGGGTAGTCATCACTGATCGGAAGATCAAGCTTTCAGGATTTCAGGAGTTGATGACCTCAATCTGGAGACCAGTGAAAGGTATGACTATCAAGGAAATCGGCGAACGCGGGTATCTGTTAAGCTTTAATCATGTTTTGGACATGAATCGGGTCATTGAGGAAGGCCTTTGGCTTTATGAACGAGATTTGATTTTGCTTAAAGCTGTTCAATCTGATGATATTCCTGAATCCATGAATCTGTTTGAGGCCAACTTTTGGGTACAGGTTCATAATGCCCCTATAAAATATAGGAATCTGAGATCTGCTAGGAAAATTGGTAATTATAGGCTCTTTTATTAAATTTGAGATGAGTCATTTTGATGGAAAGAAGAGTTCCTATCTGAGAATAAGAGTGAGTATGGATGTTCGTCAACCTCTGAAAAGAGGCACAAATTTAACGCAGGATGGAGTAAAGCACTGGGTTGACTTTAAATATGAAAAACTGACAGTTTTATCTGTGGTATTATTGGTCACTCTGACAAATTTTGTCCTTTGAAGTATGAAGAGGGTTTTGTAGCTGAAAAAACATATGGGGTGGGAATTAGAGCAGGTGGAAGGGTGAAGACCAGCCCTACAGGGCTTAATAAATGGCTGTCTGACGGAGGGTCTAGCTCAGAGGGATTTGGAGGTCAGGGGAAGTCTGAGCACGGGGGAGAACACACGGCGGAGTCCAAGACTACCAAGTCTCCATTGACTGAGAGCGAGGACAAGGAAGATCCACCGGGGGACCTAAAGCGAAGGCGTATGTGGGAAGATCAGAATGAAGATGGAGCGTTTGGTGCAGGAATGGCTCTTGACGGACCAAAAATGGGGAAGGGGCGGGTCAGCTCTCGTAGACCCGCCGTGCACTTTCTGGATGGTGATGGAGAAGAAAACCAATTTTGGTGTTTTTTATTTATCTTTTTTGGTTACTTTAAATTCAGATGCTTTGTGTTTTCATGTTTCGGTATTTTTTCTCATTGTAAGACTCTTGCGTTAAGGTGGGGGGAGGAAGAATCTGCGGTAACCGTCTTTAGCTCTCAATTGCCCAATTCCAATCTAGCGAGTTATACTGCTTTTTTACAGGTGGTTAGCTCTCAGTCTCAGCCACGGACGGGTGGTTATTTGTGGTTTTTTTCTAGTCTGGTACCCTTGCTGAATGCTGTATTTATGATTTAAGCCTTCTTCGAGAAAAAAAAAAGTATGCACCGAAAATGTACTAAAAGTGCCATTCTCACCCGAACCATACGTTAATGTAGGGTACATACAAATACGGCATACTTTAGTGTGTTAATTATGGCGTTCAAGTACTACGAAGTATGTACCAATACCGTGAGGGTAATAAATTAAAGTGCAAAGTTTTAATTATAATCCTATCATTTTATTCATATTTCATATTGATTTCTAAAATGCTGATGATTGTACCTGTAGCATCTTCACGAGTTGTACTTCAATGTTTATTTGATGATGAAGTTAATTCGATGAGTAAATTCCTCATCTAGGAGTGAAACATAACAAAAGTGCAAAATTAGGAGTTGAATCATCCGTTTACTTTTATAGGAGTAAAAATGAATGAGTTGACAAAAGTACTCTTAATGAATACTTTAATTAATTTATTAAAAATATAAAACAGAACATTATACAACAATGTGCGTATTTTTCTCTCAAGCTCACCCAGCCACAAGCTGTTTCACCAATCACTACCGCCGGTCGTCAACAGTCACCTGCCGCCGGCCGCCGCCTCCGGCCCCTGCCGTCGATCACCACCGCCGGCCGCTGGCCACTGCCATCAGCCGACACTGCCACTTATCACTACCGCCGCTTCCGCCGGAATTGTAGCTCCATGGTGTTGCCGCCGTTGCTGTCGGTCATCAATGCCGCCACCACCACCTCCGTAGCCTCTAGCTCCCACGTCTTGCTTCCCTTTTCACCACCACACCTCCATCTTCTAGCATCACATATCTCAGATCTGGAAAAAATGGTTTAAAATATCATTTAACCATTATAAATCATTTTAATAAGATCTCGAATTTTATTGTCATTTTGACATTTCTATGAAATTATAAATATTGGATTTCCAAGAAAAATATACTGCCATCTCTAGAGAGTTCGTGCCATAGAAATGGTATTATGTACAAAAATGACATTTTTTAATACGAAAAACATGGCAAAAAATGACAAATTTTAATATGAAAAACATGACATTATTAGTATTGGTTTTGCCATTTAGAAGGAGTTAATGCCATAAAAATGACACTAATAAGTGTCAAAATAATACTTTTACGTAGAAAAACATGGCATTATTTGCAAACAAGTAATATTTGCATTTTAATGTCATATTGGTAAAACCGATTATGGGAATTTTGAGTTCAAATCATAAAATTAATTTGAAGAATTAAAAAAAAATTATTGGAATGAAAGTAAAAAATTATTAACTTAATGTAAAAGAAAATTAAAAGTTAAAAAACAAAAAGTGAAGGAAAAATTGTTAGAGAATTAAAAAAGGAGAAAAGAGCAAAAAAAGTCTTACAGATTCGAATCGGTAAGCAAAAGAAAGAAAATCACAAATTAGTTCAAAATTCGGATTTGGGAAGAAAAAGAAAGAACAAAGCAGATTCATCATGTTACAAAATTAGGAAGCAAAGATCTCTATCGACCAAAGCAAAAAACTGGTATAAGAAAAGGGAAGAAGAAGAAGAAGATGAGAAGAATAAAAGCCTTACCTGCGACAACCTTCGTCCGTTGTACGCAGTTTGTTGTCCGCCGTCCACCGATGGCGATTTGGGGGAGAAAAAACGGAGCTTCCGACTTCGTGTGAGAGGAAGCAGCGAGAAGAGAGAGGGGTGGGGAGGGGGAAGAAAGAGGAGAGAAGAAGAGGATGGATCTGGGGGTTATGGAGAAAAAATAAAATAGGGGTAAGGGTAGGAGTGGAACTGGAATTCCTATTTTGGGAATAAAATAGATAAGGTCCTATTTTGGAATTACTGCTATGTTTTGGTCCTATCTAGGACAATTACTTTAATTCGATGCATTTGGTCCATTCACTTTTAATTTTGTTCGCCCAAAGATATACTACTCCGTAGTATATATCAATATACACTCTCACATGTTAGTGTCAAATTCTCCCATTATGATTATGAGATATCACAAAAGGAAACTTATCCAATTATTTTTACATTTTTACAAAAGGCGCCTCAATGGTACCTCTTTTTGGGATGAGCTAAAATCTAGCAAGCTCCCTTGTAGGTGAACAAGAAATTATTGTGCATATCTCCACCCCTGGTTTCTTCGATAGTCACGTTTGACCAGATTCTTTGTGTAAGAATTAAACTGATCACCTTTTTCTAATCATTTAAAATTAGAGTTGACAATTAAAATTTACACATTTAAAAACTATAAAATTATATTGAAGCATATACATGGGATCCAGGACGGCTGGACCCTGCCTCCAGAGTACGGCAAAAAGTTTATACTCCGTATTTTGCAAGTGTAACAACTTGTGTGAATGAATTTTCTGTAACGGCCCATCCCATCATTCCCCACTCCACTAAAAACAAAAATGAATTTGATGAAATACAAGGTACATTAATCATATAAAAAATGAGTTAAGTGGATCATATATGTATTTGGATTCCGGAGAATGGTTGAAAGAGAAAAGAAATTGTTAACGAAAGTTATTTTCTTAACTTTGCATTTAAAAGAACATGATATATATGGAGTTAATGGTTTGAAGACTTTACGGTGTTTAGATTTTTTATTCGTTAGGAGGGCATGCACTTAATTTACAGTGTTTAGACTTTACGGGTTTAAAAGAACATGACTTTCCCGCTTCGTAAAGTTAAGATATGCACTTAGGAAATAAGGTAGCAATGGGAGCTCACGATTTAAATTCTCCAATATGGAGATTCTTCCACTATACAAAAGAATAGTAGGATTTACAAGGATGTTACAAAATTGTCTCACTCAATAGTGGCTCACTCAAGCATGAGGAAAGGAACTTCCCAATCTATCTCTCTTCTCTCTCAAAGAGGCTCTCTCACTATGTTTCTCTCACTCTAGAAAGTGGACTCACTCTTGGCTAGGATGGTTAGGAATGGAGGCATCTACTCCTATTTATACTACTGCACCTTCACAATGAATGGTGGGGATGATTTCTATCCATGGGTGGAGATTGATTCCCTAGAATGCTCCACACACTCTAGGAGTCTCTATACTCTTCCACTCTTTTCCATAACCTTCCATACTCTTCCATAAGCTTCCGGAAGGTTCCACACATCTCTAGAATATTCTAGAGGATTTCACATTATTCTGCAAAACTTCTAGAGAGTTCTAGACTTCTATAGGATTCTCCGGAATTTTCTAGAAAATTCTATACTTCTCCAGAAAGTTCTAGAATTTTCTAGAACCTCTCCAATTAAGGAGGGATCCGGGATCCCAACAAAACAGAAGCCTAAAACAAGAACCGTTTCTTTAAACAAATTATACTCGGATTAGTTTTTAGTTATTGTTCAATATCAACAAAGTATTGCGGGCTTGGCTTGCCTTCGATGGTGTAAAAGCTTTGTTGGGAACCAATAACAGGTCAATTGCTATGGAGTAATAAATACTCCGTATATAATTTTGGACAATGGGCGTATTGGGACAGACACTCCATTGATGCTTGTAATGCACAAAAATTAAGTAATAGAGGCACCCACTTTTGATGGCCAAATTAACAAATTGGTAAAAAAGAGAAGGTGGTTTATCAGATTGGTAAAAATATACTACTTGAGACATATTGATAAGAAGCCTTAGTGATAATTTGGTAAATTTTTGTGAGTGCGACTCTTTTGGTTATCGACTTTAGATCAGAGCTCCCAACATTTTATATTCTAAGTATTGTGAAATTGACATTTTCAGTCTTTCTAGTTTGATTTTGTCATCAAAAGTGGAGGATTACCAACAGACGTGTTTGATAATAGCAATTGTCTGCTGCTCATGGTCGACGGAATCAGCAAATTGATACTATAAGATTCCGTAAGTTTTTTTAACTAATCGATTTCATTAGCAGTTTGAAATAAATGTTGTCTGTTTTAAGATTCTAAAAGTATTGCGTAGTAAAACTAGGAGTCCAATTACACAAACCAAATTAAGTATTGTTATTGATACAAAGGTCGGATTTGAGAACCGCTTAATTAAAACCAAATTTAAAACTATTTTAAGCTTCTCCGATCCCTCATGTACCGAGTAATTAGAGTAAAAGAAAAATAGCAATAAATATATTGCGTACGTAGTATATTATTATGAACCGAATGAGAATGCAATGTAATGTGAGAACGAAGACGGATATATTGTGAGTTAAATTTGATAATTGGATGTGGAGTAGTATAGAAACTCGAATTGCATTCTCTGAAAAAAATGATGATAGTTTGTGAGTTTTAAAAAAGTTGATTGACAACAATACATAATACAATGTAAGTATGCATACCCGCATACTTGAGTGAGATAGCTCAATGAGGTTGAGTGAGATAGTTGGTTTGAAGTCTCATATTCCATTCCCGGTAGCGGCAGATTTGAACCACCTCACTTAGAATTGTTTAAAATCATACCGTGATTTACTCTTTCATCATTCTGTTGGTGAGACGTCTAAGTTGGCGATTCCACGTTCTTGGATTGATGTAACTATTACCGAAAATGTAGCAAAAGTGGCATTCTCACCTGAACCATATTTTAGTGTAGGAGTACATACAAATACAACCTACTTTATGCTCTGTTTGAATAAAGTGAAGTTAAGTAAACCCAGTGCAATAAACTAAACCTAAGTTTTACTAAAAACTAGCTAGGTTAACCTAAGTGAACCTAGGTCCATACGTAAAATAGTGTTTGGAAATATAGAAGGTGAACCTAGGTTGATGTAATAAATGTTGTTTGGATGAAGGTACTCTAGCTCATTTTATGTTATCCGAGAACTTAACCCCCCCCCCCCCCCCCCTCCCAATACAGAGGTTCTTCAATTTAAGGTTCTTCTAGATTCTCGGGAGTTAAGTGAGGTTAACACATAACCTAGATTCTTGTTGCAAAAATACAAACAAACGGGGTTAACTAGAAATTAAACCTTCAATAACCTAGATTAACCCCCAAACAAACAGGTCATTAGTGTTGATTATGGCTTTCAAGTACTATGTACGAATACGGTGAGGTTAATAAAGGAAAGTGCAAAGTTTTAATATCCCATCATATTATTCATTCGGAGTATTTCATATTGATTTCTAAAATGTTGATGATAAAATGTTGATGGTTGTACCTGCAACATCTTCACGAGTTGCTCGATTGAATTGTACCTCAATGTTTATTTGATGATGAATTGCAATTAACTCGATGCATTTGGTCCATTCACTTTTTGTACATCCAAGTATATACTACTCCATAATTCTCTCATTTTTATTTGAGATATGGTTATGAGAATATTATCACAAAAGGAAACTTATTATATTATTTTTACATTTTCAATGAAGGAAATATGATCAATGATGCCTATTTTGGGATGAACTAAAATTTAGCATGCTCCCTTGTGAACAAGAAATCATTGTGCATATCTCCGCCAGTTTTCATTAAGTGATATATGGTCACGTTTGACGAGATTCTTTGTGTAGATTTAAAGTCATCCTTTTTGGGTAAGAATTAAACTGATCACGTTTTTCTAAAAACTAGATTCTCACCCGTGCGATGCACAGATCAAAATTGCGCAACAATTATATTTTATTATTTGTAACATTATTAATAAAAGAAAGTTTATATATAATTCCAATGAGTAAATGTACTAAAAGAATAATAAAAGTAATATTAGAAGTTAATGTAAGAGCTGATGCCGAAAATATTTTGAAAAACGAATAAATATACATTAGAGTGTGCTTGCATCAGTCTAGATACGTATATGGAGTTCGGAACATGTATATCACTTCTAGATTCCAGGGAAAGCTCAAAATTCCAAAAATTAGAGAAAAAACTTTTTCAACCATCACAATTCATAGATTATAATCACTACAAAAAAACACGGGATTGGCAGGGATATACCAAATTCGTGCCAAAAACACTTTGGCACGAGCTATTTGGCACGAAAATCGGTAAGTCCGTGCCAAATTCCGTGCCAATCCCGTAATATTTTTGTAGTGAATGTCATTTTAACGCTCTTGATCTATTCTTCTTTAGCATTATGAAGCTTACCTCTTATGCAATCTGGCAATGTCAGATTGCATATTGCCATGCATGGAAAATGAGTAACACAAACATACACTTTCTTCATTAGCAGAGATTAAAGACCAAGAGCTTCTAAATGCTTACCGTCCCTGGCAGAATTAGTATCGGCATCGATCCATTAGTCTATAGAAGGGCTTGTGGCTGCAACCCAACCTCTCCAACCTCATTTTGACCGCCAAAGCAATACTTTAGGAGGGCTTTTTGTCTTTGAGTATTTGTCATCAAGTGAGAACACCTGGACGCACAGATGGAGTAGTAAGGTTTTGTAGATTTCAGCCGGCCTATAATTTAAGGAAGCACACTGATGTTGCTTATTCACATTATAAGCTTGATTAATAAGATGAGACAATTGAAGATGGAAAGTTATGTGTATCCAACCTGCTTTTTACAAATGAGTTTAACAAAATGCTTTTTCATTGAGACAAATCAACATAATTAGCTAGCAAACTCGATCAAAGAACTCATGCGAAACATGCTCTATGACAAATGCATTAGCTATTATTTTTTCCCCTAAGAATATAATCCTACCATATAGCAAAAAGTAAAATATTACTTTTATTACATACGAACATATTTGAAGTTAGAGAAAGTTATACACATATGTGAACATAAATATGTTCTAAAATATTTCAATTACATACGAACATATAAAAAAATGATGTATAAAAAAATTTACCGATAAAATAAATAAAATGTAACTACTTTATAGTTTATATCACCAAATGTATAGACAACCTGCAACGAACTAATTTATCCCCCAAAACTCGGTTCCTTTCCAATGCCATAATAGTATTAGAAAAACTTAGTGAACAATCATAACACACTACTATGAAACCTTAGACTGTTAGACTAAATATGACCTTTATATAGTGAAAAGATGTTAACAAAAATCTAGTTGGAGGTGAAAAATTGGTGCAAATAGGTATCAATATCAGTATAGGTCATATTCATCCTACTCATGATTGATATTTATGGTGAAACTAAACCACTAAACTTATTGATCAACACCAGATGATTCATAAAAGTTTACTGAAGGTTTGTTAAAACAAATATTCACAAATATTCATGAGAAGAAATACTTAATACTTTTACCGTCTACGCCAAAAGTTTTCTAAAGGTAACGCCACATTAAAATAATACAAATGTATATCACCAAAGCTAAGATAACATGAGAAATTTGTGATTCCAAACCAATTCACAAATTCGGAGGGAAATCATTTTTCAACAATGTACTGCTATTATGTAGCAAGGGAATTACTTATGACAATAAATACACCACACAATCACCATAAAAAGTGCACAATGTACTACTCTATACACGGACAGACACTATATATCACATCTAAAAAACATATAGATTCAGAGTTGAAATGGCATAGGGATTTAAGGAGTTTTTACTTTAAAAGAATCTTAAAGACTTAAGAATCTTTCATGAGTCTTACCTTGTGCCTGGACAACCCCTTGGCTTGTTGGACTCCCATTTCAATGGCCAGGATCCTAAGTCTTGCTTGAAGTGTCATTGGCTTTCCTAGACTGCCTGACAGCCCCTTGACTATTTCCAAACAACAAATTGACTAATCAAATGAAGCTTTATATGTATGACGTCTTTGTAATTTCCTATACTTGGAATATTTTCTCCTTTTTTTTGTTTTAAAATTACAAATGAATATCCAAGCCACTTGAACGACCTCTTGGTACAAATTGATTCTTTAGTTTCAATTTTTTCTAAACTGCCTCTTAAAGTATCAGAAAAATAGAAGCTCTTTAGCCTCTAATTTTTTTTAATTTAAATAGGGATATCATATACATAAACACATTAACTTCTATGCTCTCAAGATTTCAACAAATAAATACGGAGTATTAGATCCCGTTTGGTAGCACCAAAATCGGCTGTTTTGGCTGATTCTGCTGAAATTTATGATATTCTGGCTGGAGTGGCTGTTTTGGCTGATTCTGCTGATTTAAGAAAAAAATATTTTAAAAATATATTTTATTAATAAATTAAAGAAAAAATTATATGTAAAAATAGCTAAAATGGTCCTCTACAGTAACTTCAGCCAATACAGCCAGAAAAGTAACTCCAACCTTACTTTTTCGGCTTATTACACAATTCAGCGCGCGAAAGTAAAAGTTGCGTGTTTGGTGAAAAAGCTGGCTGATAAGCCTGATAAGCCGAAAATAGAGTTCTCCAAACGGGCTCTTAATTTTTCAATATGAATGTAACGGTGTAAAGGAAAGTAGTTGAAGAATCTGTTGGCCGTACCTTGACATCAGAAGCCCCGGGCCACACCTGGTCACGACTCACGAGCAGTCTCATTACATTGCTACGATCAATCACCAGATGCTTTGCCTCCTCTATGCCAAATCTAAAGCCAATAGCATCAATTAAATGCAATTGGCCATAGCATCAAGCCAATAGAACTATATAAGGATAGTCTTGTAATTCTTTATTTTTTATTATGGACATGTTTGACACAACTAGCTGAAAAGATATTTTTGTGAGCTTTTTAATAGCTGTTAGCTTTTAGTGACTGAAAAGATATTAAAAAGAAAAAGTGGTAGCTATTTGATAAAAAGCTGACTGTTTGATTTAGTTTGGTTTGGTATACAAGCTGTTAGGATTAATTAATACTAAAAATCACTAGCTTTTCTTAGATGTTACTCCCGGTAGCATCTCAAAAAAGATCTTTTAATTTTTGAAAAGCTCTTAAATATTGTCATGCCAAACACACAACTAGAAGCTTTTAGGAACTTTTTGAACAGTACAAAAGCTAGAAGTCAGGGACTTATGCCCGCCAAACATAGCATACGACTTCCGCCCGACTTCCTCTGTTGCAGCAACCATGTCGCCTGCCTCTCAGCCGCAGACCATCGTGCAGTCCACCATGATCACTACTGCTGCTATCTCTTCTCCGATTGTCTAATACATGGCGCCCGCCTCTAGCAGGCTCTAGTCAATCCATTTCTGCCGCCATCATCATCAATGGTGAATTCTTTCAGTCCGCCGAAATCGTCCCTTACTTTGTTCAACACGCCGAATCCATTCACGTGGACACCGACCCCCTCTGTTCCCCGCGCTATGCTTCCGCAACCTCTACTTCCTCCGGCTCCATCTTTGCCGGCCAATATATTTTCTGGTTCTGCACTTGGCGGTCAACCTGGAATTCTTCCGTTGGAGTCCTATCAATTCAGCCGAGTGCCAGGGCATCAATATGGAGTATATTTTTTATTTTTATCCGGAGTGTAAAATGTATAAATCTGGGTGATTTTAAAACCAAGAGTATCATAGGCGATTCTGTGCGACTGGACAACACAGCTTTCAACATAACACCAGTGACAATATATTAGCTTCTAGCGAACTACACAACTAAACCTTTGGGTTGACCGACTCTTGACCATGATACTGACATTTTTGAGAGGGAAAATTGGACTGTTTCCACCTCATTTTATATATAGTATAGATTTTAAATTATAGTTGACAATTAAAATTTACACATCTAAAAAATACTTTAAAATTGTATTGAAGCATAAACATGGGAATGATGGGATCCCGGACCTGCCTCTGGCAAAAAGTTTATACTCCGTATTTTGCAAGTGAAACAATTTAGGAAAAATTGATATTAATAATCCCAATTATTGGCAGTCCGCTCATAATAATCTTAAATATCGGTTATGTCAGAATAATCCAACTTTAGGGACCTTCCGCCAATAATGGTCCCTATAAATAAATTCATGTAGTTTCTAAAGTGGATGAGAAGAGATATAGCAAGTAATCCCTATATATAAATAATCCCAACTTTTAATTTTTATGCTTAATTTCTATTTAAAATTAACATGTTATAGGAGGTAATATCTGGAAAAAATGGCACACATATTACTTCTAGTGTTTGCATTTTCAAAAATATGACTATTTCTCATTTTTTCCATAAAAGTAACTTAAGATATAATTAATGAAATGTTATTTAATTATTTTGTTAAAACCGTCCGGATTTCCTGCAATCTCCTCTCTTCCTTAATACATTAATACAGCTTTCTTTCAAAACATTCCGATTTAAACTTTGCGTCTCCGTCTTCCTCATATGCCATCACGCCACCTCCAGTAAAAAATAACCCATGATCGGCAATTAAGTTGAAAACAAAGACAAACCCGTGATGGCAAAATTTCTCTTCACTTTCTCCTGTCTGTATCCCTTCTTATAGTTTTTCTTCAATTCTTTTATTTTATTTTTTCATTTTTTTCAATTAAAAATGGAACGATCGGAAATTCAAGCCGGAGTCACTATATGATTATAGAATTGAGGCCGGAGTCACTGACTTTTGAGTCACTAAGAAGCTTTGAGATTGAGGTATTAGTTACTAATTGAACACAGGTAGGTGAATAGTAGTAACTGCGCATGTCGACCCAATCATTGAGTTCCAGTTACAACAATGGGCGGAGTCACTATGGATGTGTGATGGTGTCACTGTGGTGTGGTTGGGGTACATGCGGTGTCACTAATATATCACTGGTGGCAGCGATGATAGCAGATACGTACGTAGTACAAAGCTTTAAAAAATTAGAATGCTCCTAAATTATAGCATTGAGTTACACACTTACACGCTACATATGTTATTTAATTCTCCCGATTTTTTTGAATGGAAAAGTTGGTAATGTATATCCATTACGGAGTAAATGGCAGTTACAATATGCACGTGGATAGCTTTTGTCATACTATTGGAAAAAAACTTATTGAGTCACTTTTTTATCTTTCAACCTCCATTTGGTAATATTCATAAAAAAACGCCATCTGGTCTTGGACCATTATTGGCGGACGGTCCGTAGTTGGGATCATACAAAAATTATCAATATTTGAGATTATTGTCATCGGACCAGTAATAGTTGGAATTATTATGTTCAATTTTTCCAACAATTTATGACGTAGTATGTGGATAAATTTTCTGCAACGGCCCATCCCATCATTCCTCACTCCACTAAAAACAAAAATGAATTTGATTTTTTTTTTATCATACAAAAATGAATTTGATGAAATACGAAGTACATTAATTAATCATTTAAGAATTGAGTTAAGTCGATCATATATGTATAATGAGAAACCCTTACCAATTCAAGGCAATTTTGGATCCGGGAGAAAGCTTGGAAGAGAAAAGAAATTGTTAACGAATATATGGATGAGTTAATTAAGTCGATTATACGAAGTATATGTATTTTCCTAACTTTGAATTTACCTATAATATCTATTTTTGTACTTAACGATAATACTTTGTGCATGAATTTTAAATTTTAGATATAGTTTCTCATTATTATTTTTGTGTAAATATTTTTTTGTGTATGTGATGAAAGGCCTATATACATTATAAGTGCATTAGCAATTTTTTAAATGTTGTAATATTATTTTTGAATAATATTATATATTTTTGAAAAATTTAAAGTCTTCCCGGGCCCGGCGGCCCGGTGGACTACCCGGCCCGCTCTTACGGGCGGGTATGGACATGGGGTTAGGCCCGTTTTTGCGGGCCGGGTCGGGCCCGCCCACACACGATGGGCAGAAAACTTATGAAAAGCCCGGCCCGAGCCCGGCCCGAACCCGCTTTTGTGTAGGTCTATAGGATATCCAACAAAAACACAACGTTGGCTGCGTGGAACAAATTTATCCCCACCGGTATTCAAATTGTGAGCGAACCCCAAGCACCCAAAAACTCTTAACTGGTGAAAGTCTGGTGCCTTCCCAGAAAGAATCTCATATGGCATCTTACCCCCTAAAAGCCCCGAGGGTGTTCTGTTAATAAGGTGTACCACCGTGAGCACACATTCTCCCCACAGAGAGATCGGTACATTAGCCTGAAACATTAACGCGCGAGCAACATTCAAAATATGACGATGCTTACGCTCTACCCTGCCATTCTGCTGAGGAGTGTGAACACATGATGTCTGAAAAATAATTCCATGTTGCTCAAAATAAGGTAGCATGCATTTAAATTCTGTCCCATTATCACTTCGCACAATTTTGATAGACACTTCAAATTAGTTTTCAACCATGGCAATAAAAGACAAAAAGAATCGAAAAACTTCCTTTTTGTCCCGAAGCAGATAAACCCACACATCCCTTGAATAATCATCAACTAGGGTCATGAAATAAACAGCATCACAAGTAGAGGGGTTTTATAAGGGCCCCACAAATCACAATGAATTAATTCCAAAATTCTACTTGCTTTATTATTACTAATGGGAAAAGAATCACACACTTGCTTGACCTGTGGACGCACCTCACAAGGTTTATTCAAACGTTTAACAGAAGTACTAGTTTTAATATTAGGTAGCAATTTAATAACATGATCGGAAGGGTGACCCAAACGTCTATGCCATAGCTCGAACTCCGTTAGTGTTGACATGGAAATGACATGCACTTGAGGTACCCCCCGGAAGAAATATAGCCCATCCCGTCTCTCACCGGCTCCAATCAGGCTCTTCGAGGGACGGTCCTGTATAGCACAAAATGAGTCAGTGAAAATGACGAAAATTCAGATTCATCAATTAACTGAAACACCGAAATTAAATGACATTTTAATCCAGGCACATAAAGAACATGATCCAACACAATATTTTTAGAGAGGTGTACAGGCCCCTCTTAGACAGCTGCCATAGTTCGCCCATCAGGCAACCCTACCGGACGCGCACAAATACGGGTCCGATCTGCCTAGCAAGATATGTCACCCGAAACATGCTGTGACGCTCCTGTATCAATAATCCAATCACTGGAGCGGGTTTCCGCATTAAGTAAATTTAGCAAAGCCTGAACCTGCTTTTGTGTCAGTTCGGGCAATCCCTTTGACTCAACCGACGAGGATGTCCCTGCACCGGAGGTTGTCACAGCATGGGTTTTCACCCCCCCCCCTCCTCGTCCAGCTGTCCCATTGTTGGGCCTGTTCCGATGCTCCCACCACTCCGGATAGCCCAATAACTTGAAGCATGAATTCACATCATGCCCTTTCTTCTTGCAATGTGTACAAACCCGGTTGGTGCGTTCTGCTTTCTCTTGCCGTGCTTTGTTCTGCCTATCCGCCTGTAAAGTAAAGGCATTGGTTTCTACCGCCACTAACTTCCCACGTGCAGCACCCCTAGAATTCTCCTCCTGAAGGAATGCTTGATACGCTCTATTCGAGTCTGGCAACGGGCTGTGCGACAGAAGATTAGACCGCACAGTCCCGTATACCTCGTCGTCGATTCCAATAAGAAACTGATGGAGCTGTTCTTCTTCTCTGTCGGCGGCATACTTGGCAGCAAGTCCACAGGTGCACAAGCCGCACGAACACGCGTACAAAGGCTTCAGGCGATTCAACTCATCGTAATAACCCATAAGGGTTGTGCAATAGGCATCCACAATCATCATTTTTGACTGCCGGCAGCCTGTGATAGAGGCACGAAGCTGCTGCAGTCGAGGTCCATTGGCCACGCTAAAACGATTTTCCAAGTACACCCACAGCGCACGGGCTTCATCGTAAAACGGAAGTGATGCCACTACCGCCGGTTTCATGGATCGCAGCAGCCATGAAACGACCATGGAGTTCGTTGTCTCCCAGTTGCTCAATCCTGTTGCATCTTCTGGTTTCTTCAAGGTCCCATCGATAAATACGTTTTTCCGGTGAGCTTTCAATGCCAAGGTGATAGCCCGTGACCAAGCCACGTAGTTATCGCCCTTGAACACAACATGAGTAATTTGATTTTCGAGTTGATCCTGGCCGGCTCCTAAATAATACGGGGAAGTGGGATCGCTGCTCATGGTCTGGCGAATCTCCAAGCACGCTGGTGCAGGAGTTGGTAGTTGATGAACGATGGTGTTCAATCCAAGATGTTCAGCGCCGATCCCCTTAGGGCTCTGATACCATATTACAAAAGGAAATAGAATAATATTTTTAATGAGTAATCTTTTCTCTGCTTCTATTGAACCGAGAGCCACATTATTTATATATACAAGGACAAGGAATGCCTACTAACGAAATTGAGCCCTTGGCCCATATGTGCAATAATAAATTACAAACAATAATAATACAATTTACAAGGCCCACATAGGTCTAATAAATATATATCTCACACTATAAAAAACTTAATGGTCATAATTGTGAATCTGTGATTCAAAATTATGATTGTGTTCAACCCTACATGTGTAAGAAGCAGGCCATCAGACTTTAGTTACTCCATAAAAGGATCCTATGCCGCACAGCATAGTCCTTGACGCAAATCCAACGGCAGAAAAGGGAGAAGTAGGGCTTTGGAATCTGCAAAAATCGGATCTTGCAGCCTAAATTTGTCGGGCACCCTACCTGGCGGACAAATCCTGGCAGAGGATCCAAATGAAAGAGTTTGGGTTTTGAATACATTTTCATACGTAGTATTTAAACTATCGAAAGGGCTGGTAATGGGCCGAACCGGAATTAGTCCTGATCTAGCCAGTGTCCATCCTTTGTGTCTTAGTAAAATCTAGGTCCAAACAGCATATTAACCTCCCCGCAGTAACAAAACCAAATTATTCTTTGGGCCTTTTGAAGGGTGGGTGCCCTTCATTTTTTGGTCATTTCATAGCCACGTAGACCAATCACACCAAGTAAAGGACTTAAAAGTTTCAAGACATAATTGAGTTACAATATTCTTTATTTGAAAAGAGCATCTGATATGGTGGGGTGGGGTGAAGCAAATGCTCATGCCCCAAACAATCATTAATGGGAGTGATATCAATTCAGTAAGAATTTATGACTTATGTATGAATCCCATATTCATTGGTCTTTTCCGGTGGTATTTCTAATCAGTTATAATGGGTATTTATTCGTTGGTGACATGACTTGTTTGTGACCTGGAAATAGTACAATGATTTTCTTTGGGTAAAACTATATTGACGTATCTAAAGAAACAAAGTAGAAAGATATATATGCATGACAGCTTTATCAAGCTGTTGTACTTGGCTTTTTGTGTTTGTGGAGCTAGTAGCCTCTGATTTCATGACCTTTTTTATATTTGAAGCATTTAACTTCTTCATTGCATGTCCCCATTCACCTTTTCCATCCACATTAGCTGTTTGACTCTTTCTTACAACCAATTTTGTGGTTTGGTAAGGAGACAGTTAGGTTATCTTAAGTCACTTGAAAAGGTAATTAGATTACAATATCTTTTCTAAGAAAGCTTTTTCGATGGCCTTGCATAGAAATTAAGTCAAAAAGTAACTACCTTTTCTTCCCATATACTCCTTTTGTATATGGAGTTTTTTGCTTAACATGAATAGATCTATTAAATATCGTTACTCCTTTTAATCCGGAGTCTATGATTAATGGAGACTTAATGGACCTAAACATTGGATATAAATGATCAGACCGTTGGACATTGCCATTTATTGGTCCATGAACTGTCCATTTAACACTGCAGAACGTTGGACATTTATTGTTCACAATCCGAAACCACTTTGAATCGATCTAAATCGAAAATGAACTCCACTCAAAATATTGCCCCAAATTGACCATTTAATATAATTTTAACACATTTTCTCAACATTTGTAGACTTCCATGGATCCTTCTAGTTCGTTCCACCAGTCTTACCTTCTATCATCATGATAAACTTGTAGTATTCTTATTAGATCTATCTAGTACGGAGTAATATTTTAGAACTACTGCATTTAATTCTTCTATACCTACTTCTAATTCAGAACAATATAGAAACTAGGGCTAACTAATTTAATATTTTCTCATTCAAGACTTTCATTGGACTCATTAATTGGCATGGGCTGAAGTAAATATAATACGAAGTATTCTAATGTAACACAAAATACGCAGACAAGCAGTACTACTTAGTAGAGCATAAGGTAAGATATAAACATAATTATTAACAACATGTCATATTTAATAATGTAAGTTCTAATCTTCTTCATCCAAAATAAAAATATTTATTTAGCGATGGTAATTGTAATTTAATTGCGCAACTCTCTTAGCGATGTTTAGAGGTTATGTATTCCTCATCGACATAACTGACACTACTGGATGGCTAACTTTCATTGCTCATGAATTCCAATTTCCAAAACTTATTTGACCTAGTTTTTCTAGAATGTTAACTCATGGTATTGGTGGCTCAGAGTTTGTAGTTATTCGCCATCCTCTTGAGCTACCATTGGATCTCATTTGTTCGCGGTAGAGTTTTCTTGATTGTTTGCCAAATCAATTCCCCATTTTTGGTGGCTAACTTTCTTTTGCTTTGAGTTTTTTTCGTTCCAGTAGCATGTGCAACAAGAATGTTAAACTAGATAACAATATTATTATCGGCGTTAACCATCTGAAAGGGTCGGTGAGACCTTTTTCAAATCCATTCATTTGTTTCTTTGTTATCGTCATAATTAATAAATAATTTACTTTTTTTTTGAACGTAAATAATTTACTTTATTTAAAGAAACATGTTGTATTTAAGATCATAATTCATAATTCAGTAAATATATGTGATTAAATTTTAAAAGGAAAATGGAAACTAAGGATGTTTTCTTTTGGACTGAAATTTGCTGGTCTGGTCTGGTGATCTGGTTTGATCTGGTCAGGTAAACGTCTGGTCTCTGTGTATTTTATAACTACGGAAGTCAAGTCTGGTCTGGTCTGGTCTAATTTGATCTGGTCTGGTCTGCGACTGAAAACAATCCAAAAGAAAACATCCTAATAATCCAACCTTTTAACAGTCTTCTTACAATAGTCTCACCTTTTCGTTATTCAAGAATAATCCAACTTTTGCACCCCATTTTCATCCGTTGGTCCCTGACCGGTGACCTGCTATTCCAAGTTACTGTATTTTCTTATCTTTGCAAAGATAATGGTATAATGATTTGCAAAGATAAGAAAATAACTTGGAATAGCAGGTCATCAACTGGTCATGGACCAGTGAATGAAGATGAGATGCAAATGTTGGATTATTCATGAATAACGAAAACGTGGAACTATTGTAAAAAGACCGCCAAAAGGTTGGATTATTAGTTTTCATTTTCCCAATTTTAAATTTTAAATTACTTGAAAGACCAAAATATTTTAAAAACACTAACACGCACGTAGTATTATTAGTATATAACAATACGAAACACAATAAAGTAAAAATATAGACTGAAAAGTAATTATAAATTCATATTCGAATAATGAGATTATAAGAATAAACCAATATCTGTATTATGTGTGGATGATATATATGTTCAACACTGAACAAGATATGGTCAACAAAATCGGAGAAACAACTAAGACAATAATTCTCTAAAAAATACTAAGACAAAAAACGAACAGGGGAACTGTATCAGTATATAATTTATGCTGGATAATCCGTTGTTTATCGTATCTAATACCACGTATAAAGATAAGGCAGGATTCGATTCTGTGCATGGTGTACCATCAGATTAGCATGAGGGAGCTCTTAACTCTATGTTCGGACGGACCGATTTCACCCTCTTTTGCTCGAAAGATCTAAACCGTCCAAAAGTCCGCGTTTGACCAGATATTGGGCATTTGGGCAGATTGCCTTGTTGGATTATACGGAGTAATTAAGACGTGATGCTTTTTTCAAAATTCTAAGAAAGGGATTGGGATTAGTGCAAAAATTGATTTTGTTTTGTTGAAAAAATAGCACATTCAAAGTGTGTACTCTGTACGGCGTCGTACAGCACCTTAGATCTGATCTTCCCTTTGAAAATCTATTTGATTTCACTTCTACTTCATTTGCTAGAACCAGAAATTTAGCTAATTTAGACACAATGAATGTGGTCATACCACATTTGGAGGGTTCTAAAGACATTATAAGTGGAAACCCTTTTTTTTTCTTTCTTTTGTTGATAGTGGAAACTTTTAGCGACGAGTTTGGTTGAGCTCAAAAGTTAGGATCTTTAGTTAGCTTTTGCACGAGCATATTAAGGACTATGGTGTTGTAGTATTTGTCCCCAATATCTTAACCCTTTTAGCTAGGACAGAAACGTAACCCAAAATTTAATACGGAGTACTAAGTATGGATCAAAAGTCAAAACCATGTCCAATTGTGCTTTGTAAGTGATTGATGTATTTGTCACACAAGGAGAGAGTATAAAATATTCAAAACACAAACAAAAGCAGGCTGTTTTTTCAACGTGTCAATGTATGTATTGCTTGACTATGATCAGCACCGAGAGCTTCTTGGTTCATCAGTGTTTAAATACATTTCTGCTGCTCAAATTAGGAATGATGATGATGATGAAAGGAAAACTGTGAAAATGGCAAACTTATATAGAAGCAACCGGGAATCCGGGATCGCTCTCTGTTGAACTATACAGACCTAGAGGTGCCATTACTCAAACCAACCTGCAATCTCGTGGAAGATCGAGGCGTTTCTTCTTTCTTGATCAGCTTATGGATTCAGAAATGCTTTGCAATGATGGACGCCACGATTTAGACCCTGCCCGGGAAAAGCTCGGCTGGCCGGGCCTCACCCGATTATGTCTTTCAGATCTTTTCGCCTGGAAATTGATGAGTTAGTCACATAGAGTTCAATATAAGAGATTCGAATTATAAGAAGGGGCTTCTCCTAATATATTAGAAAACTATAACTTGTGGGCACACATCTAACTATTGTTACCTTATGTGTACCAATAATATCATCACGGTCATTACCGTATAAAGCTGATCATTACCATATTCACTAATGTTGTTTGTTTTTCAAAGTATATTCACTAATGTTGTTATTATTATCCGATGCATATTAAATGTAACATTTTTGTTCACTATCAATATTATAGTTATATATTGGTCAACTTAAATCAATTTCTCATTTGATCTATTTATTCTGCAAAGAGCATTGACTTCTAGACTCAATTTATTAATTGTGTAAAACTAAGTAACCATATATGGAGTAATAAATCAATTCATCAATTAGTAAAGCATGATAGAAAAGTTTTATGGAGTGAGATTAAGCCCCATAATTGTCATTGCTACATGTTTTTCCTCATGCATGTCATGGAAAAATAAATTATGATAAGATAGTTTGTATTCTCTGTTCTTTAAAAATATGATGGATTATATGAATCATCATCCCAAGTATGCACTTCATAAAACATGATACGTTGTCTGATCCAACCTTTTAGTGATTCTTTTCCCTAAAATGAAAACTGTGAAAATGGCAAACTCATGAATAACAATCTTATATTGACATGCAATTATTGTTAATCAAAATACCTGATTGCTCTGCTCCCGTTCTGAGTTTGGAGCTTCAACATCACATCTTACAGCATGTTTGTTTGAATCTTCTTGCATATTATCTTCTGATGAAATCTTTTTCTTCATCTTTGCATTCTTTTTAGCCTTCAAAACCTTCATCACCTCTGCAAGGATCAACAGTAATATTTACATTATTACTAATTATTAATAATAAATAACCTAAGAGAACAAGTGAGTTTTTAATCCTTGAAATGTTGTATGAGAGTACCATTCAAAGCATAGTCGTCTTTCATTTATGCTAAATCGCATTACTTGTTATATAAGCATGTTTGATGTAAATAAGTAAATACTTCACCTCAAAGAACATGTGTTTTTACCACTTTGTTAAGGTACATATTGATTATATACACTTACTATGGCCAATAAATGTAAATGATAATGAAAAGATAGATATTTTGTACCCCATCAGAAAAGCAAAAGTCTAAATGAGACACTTCTAAAGGCGTGCACCACTGCACTATACCAATGATCCAAGTATCCAGCACTATAATTGTGTACAAATAATACCCATAAACCACAGTACTCTTCTGTTCATAAATGAAGTTTGTGTTCACTAGTCAACTGAAATCCTCTGTTGTACATAGTATAAAACAAACTTTTATCATACCCCCATTATATTTTTTTAGGTTAAACAGTGTTTATGATAATACAAAGTCCTGTTTTTGAGAAACAACTAAAATAAAAAAGTAAAAGTTGGAACAAATATACTACGTACTTAAGAACTATTTCCTCCGTATTATACTCCACATGGCTTAATAATGACAGTTGAACTACTACATTATATGATTTGACTCAACTGTGAGAGTATTTTTATTCTAACTTGATCAAATATACAGAGTATATGTATATCGCTAGAAAATAGACTATAAGACTAATTTTCTTCCAAGTTTATCATTTTTTCATGAAATTATTCCAAAAGGAAACGGAGGGTGATTAGCTCTTTAAGGCATTTTTTTATTAGTATCTCGTTTTGAATATGTAGATAAGAAAGCACTAAAACATGGGAGAAGTTCAAATAAAAGTTAATTACTCCAATTATAAGAAAAAAATAACAAAAACTTTCTTAAAGAGACTCCTACTTTGGGAAGAAATTATAACGTGACAAAACTGTGTTATTAAACAACTTGTTATGCTTTACTCCATTAAAACTTGAAATAGGAACTTTAATTTATTTATGGTAAAATAAACAGAGTAGAGATTACCAACCTTGATTGGTGATCAGCCGATAAGCTCTGCCGAGGACCAAGGTGTCAGTGGGGCGGAGAAGCTTGACGCGGGTAAACCGGACGACTTTCTCGACGGAACCTTCCTCGGTGGCGCCGCCGCCGCCTTCGTTGACCGGAAGAGGAATGATGAGAGAAACGTAGTGGCCCGGGTTGAGTTTCATGACCTCGCTGGCCTTGACCGGCCAATACATGCGCTCCAGCTTTCCGCCGGGGTGCTGTATAACGAGCGCGGCCGCGTCCACAGCCTGGCAATTTCCCATATCTGATTGATTTCTGAGTCTCTCTCTAATCTCTCTCTATGAGGCGATGGAGGTGGGGGAAGAACAGAGGAAGGATTAAGATAGATAATGAGATGTAGGTGTGGGTGTGGGTAGCCCCACCACCCCCGGCCCCCCGCTGGATGGTGAATGGGTGTCGCTCAGTCACGCTCCGGATATGAGCATTATACGTGTCCCGCTCTATCTTACTCGTCTTTGTTTTTGTTTTCACACCAAAATGCACCGCATTTGTCCGTTGTAAACAAATACTACCGTCAAGGATTACTCTTGTTTTTACTCGGACATAACGAGTGGAGATTGCACCAAATCACACTAGTTTTCGATAGTTATCACATAATTAACTTCTCACTTCGTTTTCACACATATTGAGAAAATGAATGTACTGAGGGTAAAGTTTACTGTTTTCATTCCGTCTCAACACCGTTTGACACTGTTTTACACTGTTTTGATATATATAATTTGCAAAATAAGAAAGTGGGAAAAAGTGAGAAGTTAATTTCGGGACGGAGGGAGTATAAAATATATAGAGACTAGACATTTGTCAAACCAAACCAGATCAATCCAAACATACCAGATCAAACATACAAATTTCAATCCAAAAAAATATCCTAAGTAGGTCAGGCTAGATCTTGATAATTGTAAAATACACAAAAACTAAACATCTATCAGATCAAATCAGATCAGATTAGACCAGACCATACATTTCAATCCAAGTAAAAATAGGGGACTTTGATAATAGACATTTTCAGCTTATCAAACTTATGAGTTCTCTTTATTTTATCAAATACTATGCTCAACATCGCAATCTATACAACAGTCATGTACTATATTTCATTACATTTTATTTATTAATGTATGTGATTTTTTAAAATAGATTCTTGAGTTGGTCTTATTACTAAGTTTCATAATCAAATTTTTAATTTTTTTGACTAATACAAAATTAAATATAATGACACTTAAAGTTGTGCGTCGGCAACGTGAAAAAGGGAATGTTGCAACGAAAAAAGAACGAACGAAGTGTGTGACTTTAATTTTTGATTTCAGGTGTTAAATTGTGTAATGATCAAAATAAGTAAGATTGAAATTATTTCTGTGACTAAATGAGCTGAAATTACTATAGATGACCATTTTAACCATTTTTTATATGTAGTATATTTTTTGTATTATCAATAAAACACATCTTAATTTGTTTCATAAATGAACAAATCCTGTAAATTCATTCATTTCAAACAGAAATTGTGCCTTAACATTATTGCTATCTTTTAACCATGAATCCATAGTTAACATATCTTTCAAGTACTAGATTAACAAAATAGTAATTTCTCCATCCCGAAAAGATTTGTCAAATTGATTTTTCTTGATTTAGGAGAATCAACTTTGACCAATGGTATTTTTAATATGAAATTATTTTGAATATGGGAACTATATTAAAGTATTCTTTATTCAAAATATTTCCAAAAAGAGTAACTTTTTTTTGTAAATTACATAAAAATATAATAATCAAAATCAATATTCAAAGTTTATCATGATTGATCAAGAAAAGTCAATATGAAAAAAACAAATTATTGTAAAGGAAGACACTCCGTACTACACTAAACAACTAAGGTACCCCGTAACCGGTGGGCGTAGCTCAACTGGTAGCGAGGGAGTGCCACAAGGGTTAGGTCTCGGGTTCGAATCCCGGCAACTGCGATGAGGGGTTACTATGCTGAAAAATGCATAGGACTTCTGCAAGTACCGGGGACAGAGCCCCACTCTCTATCTATCAGATTGTGATTATAGTCCAATTTACATCATCTCATCGTGCCGTCCGGTCGGTGTTGGGAGGCCCTCAGGGATGGGGCGTCATCCTTTTTTTTAACTAAGGCACCCCGTAATTTTAATTTCTTGCCTAGATGAGTTCTTTAGGGTAGGCTCTAGCTCTCAAATCTTTCGCATCCCGAAATTAATTCTGATCCCATTTTTTTACCTCTGTCCGATTAAGACGGTGCCTTACGCAACCGATATTCAGATGGGAAGAAAAATGCCTCGAGATACGCGAAAAAATGGACCTCAATAATCTCCTACATTTGAGCTCTGGATTGGACGGTCTTCCTCGACCAGTCACCCTACCTTGCTCCTAGAGCCAGGGAGAGACCCCGAATCCATTTTTACAATAGACAAAATTGAAATACTTATACTCCATAAATGCTATCGAAGAGACAAGTTCTTTCAAAGAAGAGATAAAAGATACGGAGTACTCGGTACTGCACTAAACCATTAAGATAACTTTCATTTCTTGGCTTCTTGCTATTCTTACAAACTGAGTCATCCTCCATTTCTTCTTTTGCTTAGATAGGAGTACAAATTACTCCGTACAAAATAAGCACCCACGGCAGTTTACTGCAGATTCATGTTCTTGTGGTCCACAATCGAATCATCTTTTGCGAGTAAAAATTACACCAGCTAGGTGCGTTCTGCATATTTACCTATGCTATAGGCTGAGCACTTATTAAATGAACTGAATTATTGTACATGCAACATAAATGAAACCTTTAATCACTAATTGATACTTTAACAGGTGCTTAGAGATTTATTAAATCTAGGATGTGTTAGTAGTTAGTACAAACGAATCAGGGACCAGTCTCCCATTTGGATTGATTTGGGTACGGTGGGCAAATTGATTTAGCCGAATGTGGAAAGTGTTTATTGCACATGACAAAACATGCAAAAATCCAATATTGAATCTAGGAATGTGGGTGTATATATTGTCACAAAAACTAGGGGAAAAAAACCCACCAAGACTGAAACGTTTTTTATTGTCACAAAAACTAGAGTTATGTTGAATTTGACAAATGTGGATCCTACTTAGGACTTTCAAACCACCAAGGCTGAAACGTTTTTGAATAGGGCAAACAAAAGGATAGAACCAAGAATCGAAATAAGAGATCATGTATCATACTTACACCAGCAATTCCAATATTATTACATCTATCCCGGGACTCCGCCTTAAAGTTCTCATTACAAAATTGCAAAAAGAATCAATTATATATTTAGATAATAAGTAAATAATGTGATTTGAATATGTTTTGAGAAATAATTTTAATGGATTCATACTAGATCATTAATGATAACAATGATGGTATAAGTTATTATTTATAATATTTGATGATCAAATTGTCATTTAAAAGTGATCATTAATTCATTATATATATAGAAATAGGAACCTTTAATACGTAGTAGGAAATTGAAAATGTTAATCTGACACAATGAGAATATCTTTTCATACGTGAAGGAAAGTCAGAGGAATTGAATCACAAGTAAAAGTGATTGTTTTCATAAGGGAGTGTTTGTCATTGCTTGTGCTTTTTAAAAGTAATTGTTTTAAGAGATAGATAGAAAAGTGATTTGTAGTAAAAGTTGATAGCGTTTGGGAGTAGAAGTGATTATAATGAAAGTGTTAAAGTTGGAGTGTTTGATAAAAAAGTGATTTTTAATGTAATATTTTATTAAAGTACAAAAATGCCCCTGCATAAATTTAGTAATTGCATTTATACACACAGAAACGTCATTGTCTTCTTCACTAATACTCCGATGGATCGGAAATACGTTTTACTCTCGGGCAGACATCCATTGTTCCAGTTCAGCTAATTTATTGCAGAAATCTTTTCTTCTCTTTTTCATTTGGGGAACACGCTGAAGCTTTCTGCTCAAATAAAACATGGGAACTTCCGGCCAGACTTCATCAACGATTGACTCTAAGGAATTGGTCAATTAATTTGTTGATTCACATGACGATATCTATCCGATCAATGGGTGGAGGGTATACCTTTAATCCCAGTTTCAATAGAAAAAGAATACTCATTAATTTATTGACATCGAACCAAAACCTAACCCCACACCTTCAAGGTTGGAAGCTTGAATTGGTTGGAAGGGGACGCCGGAGCTCACACCTTCAAGCCGGAGGTTCGAATTGAATGAGAGGGCATGGCGGAGGTGCTTTCATCTTCAAAGTCGAAGTTCCTATGAAAGAGGTTGAAGATGCCGATCCTATGTGCGTACGATGGATATGACCTGTAACGACCTCACTGTCCAGAAGGGTGAAGAGAGGGGTGGGGGTATTTTAGATATTTAATGAATTTATTTGGTATTATAAACATCCTTAAAGTTTGAGTTATTTACAAAAAAAAAAACGAGAAGCAATTAAAAGCACCCCAGGGCCAGCTTTCAACTTTTGGCTTAAAAGTGATTTTTTTTAAGTAGAAGTTGGTGTTTGAAAACACCAATTTCAATTTTTTTAAAGCCAAAAGCTGAAAAGTGCTTTTATTAATCTTTTGCAAACACAGCCTAAGAGAGTGTTTTCCATTGCTTGTGCTTTTTAAAAGTGATTTTTTAAGAGATTATTGGAAAAGTGATTTGTAGTAAAAACTGATAGTGTTTGGGAATAGACGTGATTAAAGTGGAAAAGTTAAAGTTGGAGTGTTTGATAAAAAAGTGATTTTTGATGTATTATATTATTGAAAGACAAAAAACCCCTTATACTCACTTAACACATGCCGTACGAAGTATTAATTCAAAGTTGCACTAATGTGGTGAAAATGAGGATGTGGTGGGTTTGGCCTTTCCGGCCATGACAGGAACGAAGCTGGGAGTTATCACCTTGATGGATTTGCAACAGGAATGGAGATTTGGGTGGGTTGGGCATCTCCAGGCTCCACCCAGAGTGTTTAGGAAGTGACGAAGGACGGATAATGGCGATGTGGGTGAGTTTGACCATTCCGGCAATGACGATGAATGTCGATGATGAACTAAGGAGCAATAAATCCGGCCGGATTTGATGGCGACGGTAAAACTATTTCTCTCGTCGATCTCTGTTGTCTTCTTCCATGCCAAAGTATTTCATATGTATATATATAATACTCGTATAAATAAATATAAATAGGAATGGGAGTGGTGCCAGATGAGAGAGACGATGCGACAGAAACAGAAGGGAGTAAGGGTATTCTGGGTGCAATTCAATATATTAGCATTATAACTATCCCCAAACTTCAAACTATTTACAAGAAAACCAATAAGCAGTTTAAAGCACATCCAACCCAGCTTCCAGCTTTTAACTTTAAAGCACTTTTTTAATCAAAAGATGGGATTACCAAACACCTCTTTTAGCTTTTTTAATCTAAAAGTCAAAAAACACTTAATTTCGGCAATGGCAAAAACACCTTAAGGCTTAAGTAGTTAAGTCTAGCTTAAGCGGTAGATTTTATTATTTGAATGGCATATTTGTAGTTGCTAATTAGTAATTAGGTAATTACCCTAAAAGCACTTCTTACTGGAATATCAATTCCCCCAAAACTTTTGGGTTTTCCATACGTACATGTGGGTTGCCTAAAAAGGGGCCCACATCCATATTTTGATATTGGTTTCTTACTTAAATAAAAGAAATAACTTTAATCAAGTAATTAATGTTCTATTTCTAGACCTAAGTGACTATGAGATCATATTATAGTAACTACTCCGTACTAATTATATTTTTTAAAGGAGTTTCATTTAATATATTTTTTGAAAAAAAATCTTTAAATAAAAAACAGCCCATTATATTTGAGGATATATAGAAAAAGAAAAGAAAAATAACAAAGACCTTCATCTTGTCATTTAGTTCTCCACACTTGTCTCGTAAATCAAGAAATATTGCATTCTTTTCTGATAAAGAGAACAAAATCTTTTGACAGAGAATTTCTAAAGCTTTTTATCAGCTAAAATTTATACTCCCCGTCCCGTAAACAACTACTCATAGAGATTTCAATACCCCAAATATGAAAAGTATTCTCAAATTACCCTTAGAACAAGAATTTAGAAACTAATCATTGACATTTTACAAAAATACGATACATACAGAATGAGATGCAACTTTAGATGAATTTTTTCATTCAAATTCTCATTTTGGTTCACTCACACAAAAAAAAACATCACACTAATGAATGTAAATGTATAATTCCACTTTATTCACAGAGTTATTTCCCAAAATAATGCTAATTACATAAATAATTCCCTAAATAATGTTGGGTTAAAAATAATTTCCAAAATAATGCTGGATTAACCGGAATTAAGCAAAGCAAGCAGTACAAGAGCTACCACTTGAAGTGGCGGCTTTATCAAATACTCTGTATCACATAACTCGCGCAAGCAAGCCAAAGGCCCAAAGTCAGTACATTACATGGTAATGCCATATATTCTTTATATTCCTGGTAAGTAGAAGCTCGTGCAGCAGCATTAAACTTCCATTCTTTACCATCAGCAGAGCCCTTAAACTGAGACCGAATGTTACCAACTAAATGGTGAACACAATAACCATGTCCAGCTGAAGGAAAAACATCTTTAACAGCCTGAATAATTCCAGCATTCCTGTCAGAAACAATATACAAGTTGTGTCTATAAGATAGAGCTAGCTTCAACTGTGTAAAAAACCATTTCCAGGAATCCTTGTTTTCTGATTCACATATCCCAAAAGCTAATGGAACAATTTGACGGTTGGCATCCCTGGTACAGGCAGTGAGCAAAGTCCCCTTGAAATAGCCCTTCATAAAAGTACCATCAACAGTTAGCACAGGAATACAGTGATCCCAAGCTTTCCTCCACGCAGACAATGACAAGAACATGTACTTGAAAACAGAATCAGCACGACGAACAATATTTATCACAGAATCTGGATTAGCTTTTCCAATGACATGGCACATGGAAGGTAATAATTGATACGATTCCTCATCGGATCCAAAGAGAAGCTTCATTGAATGTCTCTTAGCTGCCAAAGCTTTACGGTAAGACATAGATATGCCATATTCTCTACGGATGTCTTCAATTATGTCATTTGGCGGATAGGGTTTCTTAGAAGCATTGGAGTAACGATGAACGACAATGCCTGCAACAATGTCATAAGTGGCCTGCTTGTGATCACCCTCTCTGAAATCCACTGAACAACAATGAACTGAATCAAATCTGGAAAAAATAAATAAAAATTAGAGACAATGTAACTGATAATTACAGCTATAAATAAATAAATGAATAAATAAGTAAAGAATGTTAAAGTTGGAATTCAACCTGCGAATCTGAAAGAAGGCAACATCAGGAAGGCGAACACCACGAACAGCCCACTCACATTTTTCATCAGGACAAATCACATGTAAACTTTCTTTATTTGAAGTTTTAGTACAATACTGAAAGTTATTCTCAATAGCATACATCTTCAAGTGATATATGAGATCACGTTTATTCCTGTATATAGCGTCCAATGCTATAGTAATAGGATCACAGTGTGTATAAACCTTAAAATGCTTATGAACACTAGTACCAAAACAGTTGTCATTCATATCAAAAGAATGTGGCAAAATAGAATCAATTGCAGAAGAAGAAGGGAGACTGCTGGAATCAAAAGATATGCTATTTAAAGAATCAACTGTAGAAGAAGAGGGAAGA